TTCTAACAGAATTTCACTGGTTTCTGGACGAGTTCTCATAGAAACTTCGAAATATCCTTTCTGCTTCGGTACTATCGATATGTTCATCTCGAATCGAATATCCTAAATTTGATAAGAACCTTTAAGGATCAAATTCTGTCCTTCATTTTCGCCTATTTAATGATTTATTAAAGCACCAATCGATAGATCAAAATCTTATTTACAATTGTACAAATTAGTCGAGTATAATGACGCGTATGGTTTATCGATTAATAAATAAATTATTGTAATTACACTGTACAAATTTTTGTAAATAACGTTACGTTTATCGATTTCTTTTTTATTATACAAAATTGTATACCTTTTTATAATCAAGTCACGTTTATATTTATTTATGCATCATCATAATGAACAAAATAAGAAGGAAGTTGGAAAATAAATTAGGATACTATCTACAATCGAAGTAGGATTATTAGATGAAGATCTTCGTTAGCCTTACCCGAAAGCGTAGTGATCCGTAGTCTTAAGAAGTTAGGGAAGATCGAAGGAAGGCTCACTCTCTAAGAGATAGAGGTTCAAGGCTGGATACCTGAAATGCTATGCGTTTAGAATCCCGAAGAAGATTTCTGCCTCGAATCAAATTCCTGAGAATAGGCCCAAGTATTTCCCAGTGATCTCCATCCTGCTTCTTACAACTATCCACGACCATCGAACTTTCCACTTGTCTGGGTTATACCCGAACGAGATTCCCTTCCACGGACCCTTCTTATTTCCCTCTTATTCTCTTTCTCTCTCTTTCTTTCTCTCATTCTCTCATGATCTCTTTTATTTTTCTTCTGCGTTCATTCATCCATTTTTTGTTGACTTCTTTTTCTTTTTTAGGTTTCACCCCGTCTTTTTTCTTATTCATTTACTTTCTAGTTTTTTTTGTTTTGTTTCTTTTTTGTTTATTCTCCCACTCTTTTTATCTCTTTTGTTTTACCCCTTTTTTCGAGTTAGTTTTTTATCATTCTTTTTGCTTCCTTCGTTTTTTTGTCTGTCTCTTTTTGGCAAACACATAGAATCCAAGTCGTAGAAAACGTTTGGCCATTTTCTCCTGGCAGCTACTACACTCCTGTCACATTCCAATACCAACCTTCGGAACTTTCCTACGACGTGGAATTGAATCGCCGCAAAATCGGTTTCGTCCAAGCAACCCACCCACCACCCGGCAAGGAAATCTTCGAGCTTCGTGGTTAGCACGAAAGAAGAAGGAACCATCGAAGGAATCTTTGGTGGTTCCGTTTCCGCTAACTTTTCGTTTCGACGTTGTTCGAACTTTGACGTTCGCTTGGAAACGAATCGAACATGCCAACGACTCTTCTTTCTTCTTCTTCTTCTTCTTCTTCTTCTTCTTCTTCTTTTTCTTTCTCTCTCACTCTCTGTTCCTCTTCATTTTCTTTTCCTTAATTCGATCTGTTTCACTAGTAACGAAACGAGTTTTTAACGTCTCTGGTGAAAAGAGTCTCAAGGACAACCAAACCAGGATAGACCAAATTTTCATTCTTTTTTTCTTTTTACCTTTTTTTTTATTACCTATACTAACAACAGTAAGTAAAACAATAAGGTTCTTATTTTATTTTCTTAACGTAATTAGAAAACCTGTAAATTTTCAAAATACAACTAGTAGTAGTAGTAGTAAGTACTGTCTGACTGCTAAACAAACCAGACAATGCACTACTTCGTTTGATAAACGTATTTTTATCCAATCTGTGTTTCTAATATTTATGTAAGTGTGATTGTCGTTTTCCTATTGTAAGATTCTATATACGTTCCTTTTCGTGCGCTTAAAATCTTCTTTTATTTCTTAGGGAATTTATTTTTTTAATTTTACCTATGTTAGAACAGTTCATTGTTATTATTGCTTTTACCTCTTTTGCATATATTGCATAATAATAATAATAATAACGAAATTAAAAGGTACGAATTATTGACAATGACAAAATGTATTATCAGGGAAATGTGAAAAGTAATAATAAATTTAAATGATAATCTTTAACAAAGAGATATTTTATTCAAAATTTATTAGTAAAATCGTCCACCAAACGAACGCGAATCATACGTAACCGTTAATTTTTATAAAAATAATTTCACAAATTAATATTATCATTATTGCAAATATGAATTCTTTTTCTTTCATAATTTGTTAACACATTTAAATAAGCTGTTAAATATCATATGCAAAAGTAATCTAATTGAGGGTCACACCTAGTGTGACCGCCTAAAAAAAAGGTGATTTTTAGAAATTTTTTTAAAGAAAACTACTGGATGAAATATTTTAAAATTTAGAGAATATATTTATACATAATTAAAGAATATTCACAAAAATTTTCAAATGAAAAAAGGTAATTTTTAGCGAGTTATTCGCTATCTTCCAAGTCACTATAAAAAAAGGGCCTAAACGGCTGCAGTGATTCCGGCCTTCACTGTGGATGAAATAAAAAAAAAATACTGTTAATCTAGAAGGTATTGCCTATACAATGACCTAAAATTGTGAAAAAAATTAAAATTTAACAAAATGGCAGACTTTTTAAAAAAAAAATCGATTTTTGCTCAAAATTTTGATGATTTTTGGCCCGCTAAAATTACATTTTTAATACAATCGTAAAACTTTTGGGTCATTGTACAGAGAAACATATACGAAATAAGCAGAAAAAAAAATCAAAGCGATCGGATGATTTTTCTTCGAATTACAACTGCAGCCAATTTGAAAAATATATTATAGTTTTGAGAAAAACGCATTCAAAGATAAAATGATTGCTTTCTAATCTCTGAGCGGCTACTCTTTAGAAGGCTGTAACTCTAAAACTATTTGAAATATTTATTTGAAATTTCAGTATGTTATTTTTAAAGATATAGACTATCAAAATATGCAAAAAAAGATCAATTTTTTTTAAATTTCACACTAGGTGTACCCTTGAATACTCGAAAATGTTCTTATTGTTTAGTTTTATTCTTTTGAAAAATCCGAAAGTTCGTTTGACAGAAAAAGTTAGGAAAAGAAGAAAAGTATCGGTATTACGAAAAGGTTAAAGGATTATACGTTGAGTCAGGCTTATACACGGATAACTTTGAAAGTCACGAACAATCCTTTCCTCTCGCGAATGTTTTCTCCTCTTTACCCTAACTCTTTATTTTTCTCTCTTCTTCTTCTTCTTCTTCTTCTTTTGCTTTCTTCTTCTTTTGGTCTATAGAAGATCGCAATAAGAGGATGCTTTTATCCTTCTACCTTTAAGCACAGACGTAGGGTGACACGGATAGAGGTCTGATTTAAGTAGTGCCACGTTTCAATCGCGCGAGTGCATCGTCAGTAAAACGGAGAAAGGTCACGTAACCTGAAAGAGAAATGAAATCAAGAAATAGTCTTTTCTTTTTTTCTCTCTTCTCTTTTGTTTCCCTCTTATTTTTTTCCCCCATTTTCCTTTCCTCTCTTTTTCTTTTTTTAATATCCGATTCTTTTTTATTTTCTCACCCAAAAATTTAATATCTCGATCTTTTCATGAAAATAAAAAAAAAAAAAAAAGGAATCAAACGCGAAAATTAAGATATATTTACGAATCCTTCAAATATAATCATTTTTATCGATGAATAATTAATTTATTTATGACAAAAAAAAAGATTCGATTAGTTAATCTATTAAACTATCGGAAATTATTAAACGTATCGGAAATTGAAACTAAGCCACGATTTTCTCAACATTTCGATTGTTCGAGATCTTATCCAATATCTCAAGAGAACAACTCCTCTAATTTGGGGAAAGGAAAGGGCAAAATAAAAAAGAATAAAACAAAGCGAAGCGAATGAAAGTAAGAAAGAAAGAAAGAAAGAAAGAAAGAAAGAAAAGGATGAGAAAACTCCTCTAACACAGAGGTTGCGAATTTTCTTCTACTTCTTTTTCTTATTCTTCTCTTTTTCAAGCGAACCTCGGCCAACATCGACCATTTTCAATGGTCGAATTTGGTGGCGAAGAGAGGAGGTCTATGTAATACGGTCTGGAAGAATTTCGAGTCGCCTACTAGCCAGTAGTGGAGTCTCCTTTCCAGTACGAGTTAGAAAGAGAGAGAGAGAGAGAGAGAGAGAGAGAGAGAGAGAGGAAGATAGCGTACGATAGTAGCGTAGCCTCCTCTGGTAAATGGAACGCACCGGAGAGAGGAGAGACTTTCCCGGAGGATCGATAGAGGGGGAAAGGGGGTAAAGAGGTAGGGTGGGGGGGAGAGTGTTACTCTGGGTGGGTGCGAGAGAAACGACGATTGGGAACGGTCGTGGGAGGTGAACGGTGGAGTAAAGCAGATAGATATAGTAGTATGTGTAAAACAGAAAGAGAGAGAGAGAGAGAGAGAGAGAGAGAGAAAGATAGATAAATAACTAGGTGGATAGATAAAGAGAGACAGAGAGATCATGAGATGGATAGAAAGAGGATGGATAGAAAGAGGTTGGATAGATAGTTAGATGGATAGAGAGAAACATTGAGAAAGATTATGAGGTAGAGAGAAAGGGAAGGACGAATAGATAGCAAGATGAATAGAAAGAAACACAGGGGGAGTGTGTGAGAGAGAAAAAGAGAGAGAGAGAGAGAGAGAGAGATAGTTATACACATATACATAAAATATGAACACCCATGCATGCATAAACTCATATATATATTTATCCACATGCATGACTCTCTCCATAGATGTATGTGTGCGTGTGTTTGTGTGTGTATACAAAGAGTAGAGTGAATAAGTTAGAAGAGAAAGTAAGAGAAAGATATGAAAGAGAAGAAATAGTAAGAAAGGTGGAAAAGGTGCATCCCTTGAAAGTAAAAGAGAGAGAGAGAGAGGTTGAGGGTGTGAGGGGGTGAGGGGGTGAGGGGGTAGTTAGATATCAGAGGGCGCCACGTAGGACGGTTCCGCGTCGTTCCACGGTTGCTACGAGCGGCGTCGGCGTCGTCGTCGGTGTCGGCGTCGGCGTCGGCGTCGTTGTTCGTCGTCGTCGTCGTCGTCGTCGTCGTCGTCGACGTCGTCATCGTCATCGTTGTCGTCGTTGCCGTCGTCAGCGTCGTCGTTATCGTCGGCGTCAGAGCGAACACGCAGCTGCCAAGGGCAGTCTCCGGTCCTCGGTCCAGTCTGCCATACGCCGTCGTTTCGTACGCACGAACGTCGAGCGCGCGCGCGTGAAATTCTATACGAAACGGAGAAAAAAAAAGAGATAAGAGAGAGAGAGAGAGAAAGAGAGAAAGAGAGATTAAGAGACTGACGGACAAACGCAAAACACACGGTGGATTTATTTAATATTTTTTTTCGTATGAAATTTCTCGTCCCTTTCATAGATTTCATCTTCATATAGTATTCATTTTTGTTATCTTTCTATACAGCTTGCACATTTTTTCTGTTTGTTTGAATTTATATATTTTTTTTCTTTGTTGATAATTCTTTCTATCTCTTTCATTTTTGTATTATTATTATTATTATTATTGTTTTATTATTGCGACGTGGAAAGATCTCGTCGACGTATGTAACGAATGTGGATTATCGTGAGATTAGTTTTAGGTTTAGCATGTTTGACAGATTAAACGGTTCTTTTTTTGAGATAGGAGTATAAACACGGTGATATATTATTATGATGATTGTGACTTATGTTAGTTAGAGTTAAGTATTTTAGTAAAAACTAACATGTGTTTATTTTTTGTCGGGGTTTATTTTTTTGTGACATTTGAAGAAAAGAAGGAATGTGCTATCAATTGAGATCGATTTCTGTCCACCCGGCTGCTGAAAGCATCTGTCAATCGTGTTTCGTGTTTTCCTCGTGGAAGATAAGGATCGACCTTGTGATGCTGCTTTAAGAAAGAAGATTTTCAAGGTATGGAAATTGTTATTTTATTTTTTACTATTTCTTGTATTCTTAAAGTGCGACGATATCTTTGAAAAAATATGCCGAGAGTCGAGACGCGAGTTTCATGAGTTTTTATTTATGGAACTCGTGTTATGGGGGTTGACGATTCTTCCCGAAGATTCCCACGAAATTTGAATAGATTTCTTTTCGGTCGAGTTTTAAAAAGAAACGTGCTGAGATATTTATATTCGACTTGAATTTAATTTTTTCTGATCTTTCAAGTGTTTTTATTTATCTTCAATAAAAATCAACATATTCGAACGTGCATAAGTGAAATTTCGATCCCGTTTCGTCTCAACGTCATAGCGAATAATCGTAGAATTATTAAATTCGATTCAAGTGTCATTGCGTTTAAAAGATGAGTATGCTTCGGTAGATTATTTTTAAATTTAGAAACGATCAAATCTGAAAGATATTTAAATATACGTTCCATCAATGTCAGTTTAGATTTAAAATCTCTCTTCGCGTGGTAAATTTTTGTTTGATGAATGAATATTAATTTTCATTCATAATTTTGAATCTCAGCGTTTCTCACTAATCGAAGATTCAAAGTGCATGTTGGCAGATAGATGAAGCATTTTGAAAATGATCGGTTAACTCACTTCCCTTGCGAGTTGCCATAGCCGCGAAATTCGAATCGTGTCGTTTCTTCAGGTGAGATTAGATTTCTCTCGTGTGTGTATTCGTGTGAAGGTAAACGAGACGTTATCATAGTTCGATTAGTTGAAATTCGAGTTCTCTTAGAAGAGCAAAGTTTCAACGTAGCTTTCGATGACATTGATAGTGAGATAGATCCCAGGGTTGATTCAACCCTCCGAATCTAATGATTCGAGTTTCGTAGTAATTAGTGCATCTGCGTTTCGTATCTAAGAACTTTCTATATCGTTTGATTGATCTTCTCTTTTGTGATAAATAATTAATTGAGATTATCAGCAAATATTTATTGAGAATTTCGTATAATAACTTGTGTACCAAATTTGTATATCAACTTGTAAATCTACTGCTTAGATAGATAAGAAAAATCTTGAAATTTAAATAAGCTGCTTATCAATAAACCTAAGTTAAAATTTTATGAGATTTAAATATCGTATAGTCAATAGAAATTTTTTTTTTAACCACCAACGATCGCATTTGATTTTATGATAATCTTGTATTTAAATCTACAAATTTATTTTATTAAGCAAATTTAAATATTGACTCACAGAAAAATATTCGTTTCGAATAATATGAAATCAAGTTCAAATTTAAACTCGAAAGACTCAATTTTCCATACATTTCACGAAACACAAACGCACACACACACACACACACACATATACATATATACATACACACAAATAGCAGCCATATAAAGTAAATCTGTGGTAAATCGAGGTAGACCGTTCACTCTCGATCTTTACTCAAGTAAATAAATTTGGCGGTCCCATCGAGAGTACCCAGCTCCAAGACGAATTTCATTAGAGTTTTCCCAAAGAGATAAAGAAAGAAAGAAAGAAAGAAAGAAAGAAAGAAAGAAAAAAAATTTTATTTCTTTACCAGAGTAGGAAGCCCAAAGACGGTGATTCCAAGAGACTGAATCGTTTTCTCTTGGTCGTTTGAGACTTTGCAAAACGTTTAGAAAATTTCCATTTTCCTTGTGGTATTGCCGGACGTCGAAGAAGGTAAAAGAGAGGTAGGTTAAAGATGGAATAAAACTGTAGAGAAAGGAAGACAGTATATCTATATATCTAGCAAGGTGGATTTGCCGTTTTACAGAATCGCTTTGCATTCCAATGAATATTAATTGAATGCAATTATTAAATGTAAATTCGAACTCGAACGGTCACCATTTCGTCCTCCTTATTCTTCTCCAAACCTCTCATTCTAACTTTATGAAATAGTTAGACGGCCTAAACTTTCGCTAACTTTGTATATAACACGTTCATATACGTATGTACATATTTACATATAATATACATGAAGGGGTAGGTCATTCAATTTAAAACAACAAAATATTTACGTTGTTTGGAATTTTATAAACAAATTATTTAGAACAAATGGAAAGTAGTTTTACATTTTTATCAACATAATATTTTATCAGATAATTTAAGTAACTTGTGGATTTACCTTTCGTCCTTAATAAATTTAAGTGTCATCTAATAAATATTATCTTTCGTAAGATAAAACGAATGTTCGAATTTAGATAATCGCAGTAACACGTTATACATAAAAGTAATATATCGTTGTTAAATTTTGCTAATATCTTCGTTTTATGTTAAATAATTCAATTGCTTTTTGTCCAGAGAATCTTAGATTTCTTAATCAAAAACTCTTTGGTTTTCGTTTGACAATTCGTAGTTTCTTGATTGAAGTTTCGTACGAGTTTTACTCGGTAAGTCTACTTGCCACTTTCAGAAATATTTCTTGTTCGAAGGTTGAATGAGAACGATCTACAGTACGAATGCAGGATCACTAATGAATATGGAAGAGGACAAGTTTAATCTTCCCTTAAAACTATACTCGAAGAAGAACGATTCTCTATTGGTCGTAGATGTGTATAGCTGAGTTTTTTGTACAGATACTTAAAAATAGATTGAACACGATAGCCCTTTGTCTGAGGTGTGTCTTTTTACTCTCCCTCTTACGGGTATGAGTTACCTTACCCTTATTCAATACTACTAAAGAGGTCGCGTTTTTTTACCATATCTTTACTGTCAACAGCACACGGTTTTTGTTTTTCCGAACGGATAACCCATCTATTTTACTAATTGTGCACACGTTGTTTGACTTTAGATATTTGATGGCAACAATTAATCCCACATTGTTAGTTCGTTGATTTTCATCGCCTGAAATGACTATACCAAGAAAAAAATATATTATAAATAAAATTTAATAAACCTTTGCCGGATTTTATATTTAAGTATAATCATCGTATTATTGTCAGTTCGGTATTAACTTGAACGTTATCTGCACGATTATAAACCAAACAATGTGAAATATTATAATAGTTTTTCTCAATTTATGATTTTATTTAATTTAAGCGAAATCTTATCACGTTCTAGAGACAGAATATTTGACATTTACAAACCGGATGAGGATAAGTTATCAGAGAAAGAGAATCTTAAAAATAGACAAGAAACAAAGCAATTGTATTTCAATATTAATGTTTGTTGTAATTTTGTTAAATCGTTAATTTGTTTAATGTTTAATAATTAATATTAATGTTTAATAAATTTAATAATATATTTTTTGTGTGGGTGTCCACATTTATAAAAATGTACTAATCGTAAAAATTGTATTAAGGAAATAGTGATAGTAAGAAAGTAACGGGTTATTTTTTGTAATATTATGTATATATATTATATATAATACATAGGTATGTATATATATTCGATCGATGTCAACTTATAAACTGGCTTGGAAACTCCGTCAAAGTGCACTTCCTGATGGAAGTACTTCAGCTGGATTCTAGTCTCGTAGGGATTTTCTAGATCGAACGTCGAACCTTGGCTAGTCTCTATTGCCCTTTTGCGTCAAAAAAGAAATCTAGAGTATTTCTTACAGATCCACATAGAAGTGGATTATTTAATTCTAAGTCCTTTTCAACTTAATCGAATCGAGAATATACTTTTCGTTACTTTCTATCTCTTTCATTATATTTTCTTTTTTCTCTTTATATTTTTGTTTTTTAGTTTTCCAATTATTTTCTCGATTCACAAAGTTTACTAATTTATACTGAAGATTGTTATAAATTAAATTGATGAATATATAATAATGATTTAAATTAATATAAAACGTTTCTCCAAGGTATTTTACATTTTCTTATCTTACATTGTTAAGAACTATTTCCGAAGTGATCATTCATCCGAACATTTTCTCATTATTTCGTTCATTGAAACGTTTAACAAAGTACAAGAGAAGACATTGCTGTTTCTTTTGGAATTATTATTCCTTGCACGCGTTGATATAATGATAATAATACATATAACAATAATAATAATTATTATTATTATTACAATATAATATATTTTTCTTCATTTTAATCATTCATGTTTATTCATCGATGCACACATTATTCTCGTCGATATAAAATAAATTAACAAATAAATAAATGTACCTGTAAATAAATGTTTTAATAAAAAAAAAAAAAATAAAAAAGAACTGGGAGAAGAAAATAGACAGTGGTTCGTATCGAAACACTTACTTTTTTATGCAATTTATCGCAGTGTTTTGACGAAGCGATTTAAGTAAGAAAAAAAAAAGAAAAATAGAGTATAAAGTAAATCTACGAGTGCCCCCTAGGCTTTCCTACGTTTTTCTCATTTCATTGCTTTTAAGAAATGAAAAGAAGCAAAGAGTATGGTAGGCTGTATCCACGTCGAGTTAAAACGTAAAGAATGTACAAGTTTACGTACGAGTTACGAATTAAAAGCATACTTGTTTTTTCCCCATTTAGTTAATTGAACATTTTCTTCCTCGTTCTCTGTTATATCATTCGACTAAAGAGATACGGACAATCGTAGTAATTTTTTTTTTATAAACGATTATTAATTTTTTTTTTTATTTCTTATATAACAATTTTAATAATGCAAATAATTTTAATTATCGATAATAGAGTTGTACATTTGATATATTTTTATTTTATTGTATTACGATGTATGTTTTGTTTCTTTTTTTTCTTTTTTAATTATTAAAAAGATAATTAGATTATTCATATATTTATTAATTAATTAATTTATTTATTTATTAATGCATAATAGTATATTTGTGTAATATGATGATTGATAATGTATTATATTATTATGATTATTTTCCCATTGAATAATTAGACTATTAATAATGGAATCATTGAAAAGCAAAGGGTTATTATTAATTATCGATAATAGATAGTCAAATTTATTTTTTTATTCATTCTTCTGACATATTATATAAATATATATATAAATTGTTTATTTATTTGCCATGGAAAATATAAAATTATAATATTT